CAAACACTATTGATCCCCGAAATCCTTTGTAATACCAATGTTCACTTTGTCTGGTTTTGTTGCAGCATGCCCCATATTAACTTATTTCACAAATTTATGCATTATGGGATTTTATTTATCTATTTTTTGTATCCCTTTGAATTAAAACAATTTTGAAATGATAAAACAACCAAAGTGGGGTAATTAATTTACTTAACTTTCTTTTGCTTTTAAAAAGCTTTTGTCTTATCATAATTAATATTAACATGCATACATAACATATATATATGTATATAAAGATATTTCTAGTACAAACATTGCGAATTTTGGTTCTAAATATGAAAAAGATGCTCATTACAAAGCTGGAGCCAATGAAGCAGCATGGTCAAATAAAGAATCTAATATTGGAAAAGTAGCGTTAGTATATAATATTTTTAACTTTAAAAAAATATACATAAAATTTTCAAATTTGTTTTTTTAAAATTTAGTGGACTTTGGATATGGCGTATTGAAAAATTTCAGGTAGTACCTTGGCCTAAAGAAAGATATGGACAATTTTATTCTGGTGATAGTTATATTGTACTTCATGTAAATACACAATTACAATTATGATTATAATTTTTGATTGTAATAAAAATAAATCATAATTTTACATATTAATAATTTGTATTCTAGTCTTATAAGAAAAACAAAGATACAGAAGCCTTAGCACATGATATTCATTTTTGGCTTGGCTTGGATAGTTCCCAGGTATTAATTATTATTAAGAAGAAATTAAAGATCAAAAAATCATATAAACATTTAAATAATATTTTAAATTTTTTTTTTGTAAGGATGAAGTTGGAACTGCTGCTTATAAAACTGTTGAATTGGATGACTGTAAGATTTATTTTAATTACACAGTTGTTTATTACTGATTGGTTATTTAATTATGTATTTTTACTACCATTATAGTTCTTGGAACTTCACCTGTTCAACATCGTGAGGTAAATTTGTCATTCCATTTACTTAATTATATATATGTATTCCCTTGTATATTAAAAAATTTGTATTAAAGGTTCAAGGGAGTGAATCTGATTTATTTATCACTTACTTTCGTCATTTCCATGTTGAAGATGGTGGTACTGAGAGTGGTTTTAATTCAGTTAAACCTGAAGAGTATCGATCACGTTTACTAAAAATTAAAAAAATTAAAAACACTGTTATTATTCGAGAAGTACCAAAAGATCATTCATCATTGAATTCTGGTGATGTATTTATTCTGGATAATGGTTTAGCAATCTATCAACTTAATGGTAAAAAGTCACATGGTGTCGAAAAAGTCAAAGCAGCAGAATTTGTTAGAGCTTTGGAAGGAGAAAGAAAAGGTTTACCAAAAATATTGGTTATTGGTTAGTAAAAAAAAATAGATATATATATTATTTTATTGCTTATATACATACATATACATATATACATGTTTGGTTGTATTCATTTGATTTGTATGTGTTTTTTATAAAATAAATTACAATTTAGATGAAGGTGATAGAGAAATGCATAAATTTTGGGATGCACTTGGAAGTAAAGGAGAGATCAAACCTGCTGAAGCAGATACTGGGGCAGATATTGAAAAATTTGAAAAGAAACTTTTCAGGTATAATTTTTTCCTACTTTATGAAATATTTTTATAAATTAAGTATGATAATTATTTTTATTTTTATATAGAGTGAGTGATGCTTCTGGTGAAGTAACTTTTGCTCAAGAAGCTAGTGGAAAGGTGACAAAATCGCATTTTGATACAAATGATGTTTTTGTTTTTGATGCAGGACATGATGGTAATTAAATTTTTTTTGATTTTGAGACTGTGGATTTTCTTGTTGAATCATATGTATAATTAATTTTTGTAATAAAAACAGTATTTGTATGGATTGGATTAAATTCTACTATTAAAGAGAAAAGATATGGATTACAACATGCACAGGTAGGAAGGGTATTCAATTAATGATCTCTAAATTTATTGCATTAGTGACTATTTATTAATAAATAATATGATGATGTAGGATTACATTTCAAAATATAATCGTCCACCTTTTACCCCTATCACAAAAATTATGGAAGGTGGTGAGAATGAAGTTTTTGAAAATAGTTTAGATGTTTAACAATAATATTTGTTAAGTGTAAATTTATATTTATTTAAATGTAAAGAAAGAAAATTTCAAATAAAATTATTTTTTAATCAAGCTTTTTGAAATTTTCATATTTATTTTCAATCATTGTTGCATTATTTCTATTTAATACATTTATTTTTACTTTATCAATTACTTGTTTAATATGCCTTGAATAAATTTTATTAATTGATAAATCTTCTCTTAGTGCTTTAAATCCTGATTCTCTGATAACCATAATAATGTCAGCAATAGAACAATGTTAATAATATTAAAATTAATGTTAATATAATGATAATGGTAATGATGAATATTTAAAATTCAATGATATCACATCAGATTGCCTACCTAAATAATTTTTCCAAATCTGCACCACTAAATCTTTCAGTTAATTCAGCCAATTTTTTTAGATCAACATCTTCACCTAATGAAAATTTTCTAGACAAAACTTTCAATATATTCAATCTATCATCTTTTGATGGCAAACTAATATATATTAACTGATCAAATCTTCCTAATTGATTAATTAACCAAGTAACAAATTAATGAATCAATGAATATAAATTTTGTTATAACAGGTTGACGATTATTATTACCTGGTCTAATTAAAGCATCATCTAATTGTTCTGGGTTATTTGTACAACCAATTATCAAAACATTTTTTAATTCTTGTATGCCATCAATTTCATTTAATAAAGTTGATAATACTCTCTCATTTATTCCAACTGAACTTTCATTTGATTCCCAATCTAAACATTTTTTTTGTTTTTAGGGGAATAATTATAATTAATTAATAATTAATTTACATCATATATCTTTCATTGCCACTCCTATTTCATTTATATTGATTCATCACCTCTTTTAGTTCCAATTGAATCGATTTCATCAAAAAATATTATGCAAGAAATTTGTTTTGATTTTTTAAATAAATTTCTTAAAAATTTTTCAGTTTCACCTAAATATTTTGAATAGATTTCTGGACTTTATATAAATAAAATAAAAAAATTTCAATCAATTTATTTTATTCATGTCAGTAAAAATAATGAATGAGGAGGTGTTAATAAATCAATACCTTTTTATATAAATAAGATTAATATTTAATTCTTTTGCAATTGTTTGAATTAAAATAGTTTTTCCGCATCCTTTAAATAGTTGAATTGGATATATTATAACATTTACCATGATAATGAATAACTAATTATTAAATTATTTCTTATATACATCTATTTACCTGATGGACCATAAAGTAATAAGCCAGTTAATGGCCTCACACCTAATAAATTGTAGTTACCATCATTTTTGCCATTATTTATCAAAGAAAATTCAATTATTTTAATCAATTTTTTCTTGATAGCTTCATATCTAAAATAATTTTTTAATTAGTAAATTACATGTAAATTGATGTATTATTAGTATTTATTTTCATTAATATATTATAATTATTTACCCTCCAATATCATCATTCAAATTTAGATTAATTGGAATTTTATCAGTACCAAATTTTCCCAAAGGCTTCATCATTGATAATCCATAATTAAAATCTTCCCAATCAATCTTGAAATTTCTATTAGATCAATTAGATAATAATCAGCAAAATTTTTACAGTAATTATTATTACTAACAAATTTACTTACTTATTATTACCACCAGCATTAATGTTAATTTTTGACATATTATTGATAATATTATTTACATCCTCATTCTCACCATCATTATTGGTCTGATTATTTAATGAATGCATTAAAGTTAATCTACATAAATTATAAATATCTTCTGAAACATATCCATTTGTCATCTATTATTTATTTAATTAAAAATCAAAATGTTATTGTGATTATTATTGTTAACATTATATGTAATATAGTATTATTTACCATTCCTAATTTATTAACAAATTCATAAATAGTTTCATTTGATAAATTGTTATTATTAAATAAGTTGTTAATATGAAATTCTAATATTTCTTCTCTTTGAATTCTAATTGCAGAAAATAATTTTTTTTTAAATAAAGTTACTTTTTAAATGTAGTTTGATTTTCTTTATAAGGTTTTGCGCCAGTATGTTTAAACGATTAGATGACTTAAATATTTTCATTTTGTTGTAATCTTTTAAATCTTTGAAGGCTCTCCATTTTATCGTTTTCTTGTATATAAATAATATTCCCCATTTCCTTCTTGTCTCGATCTATAATCGTTGGATATTTTAATCACAATAGTTTTTTGTCATACTTTTTAAAACTCTCAGAAGTCACGTTGTTACAAAAAGGAATCAAACACAAGTGAACATATTTTTTTCTAAAAAAAATCATCGATTTATTATTTTTCTAGCTCTAGCTTAGACAAAGATTACTCTTAACATTAACTAATAAATATAAAATAGATAAAATTATAAAAACATGTCAGAACTACAATCTCAATCAAATCAACCACCACCATCTGAAGGAGATAATACAAATGATAAAAATAACAGTAACAATAATGGTGGTAGTGGTGGAGCCAAGAAACCTGATGAACATATTAATCTTAAAGTTGTTGGAAATGTAAGTTACTTTTTTATATATGTTATATAGTTTCTTAAGAAAAGGTTTTTGTGATAATCAAAATGTTATAGCACATTTAAAAAAGAAGCTATTTAGTCAATATGTATATATGAATTAAACACGCGTAATATAAAAAGATAAACTTGTTAAATATGACGTGTAATAATGTGTTTTTATGTTTGATTATATTGTATGCTAACAATAAATTGATTATCTATCGTTATCATTATCGTTATTATTATTAGGATCACAACGAAGTCTTCTTCAGAATCAAAAGAACTACTCAATTAAAAAAACTGATGGATGCTTACTGTGAAAGACAAGGAAAATCTTTAGCATCACTTAGGTTTCTTTATGACGGTGATCGTGTACAAAGTCACAATACACCTGCAGATGTATGTATTATTTTTCTTGAGAAATACTTATTTATTTATGGAGTATAAAAAGTTATAAATCAAAAAAAAATTTTTTTTAAATAATTAGTTGGATATGGAAGATGGTGACTCTATTGATGTTATGGTTGAACAATTAGGTTTGTGATAAGAAACAAAGTATATCATTATTCAATTTAAATATTAAAATCAGATTATTAATTAATTTATTTTCTTGAAATAGGTGGATAAAAAAAAGCGGGTGATATTACATATATATAAACATTATTTGTGCTTAATACTCATTCACATACTGTTCTTTATTTTTCACATATAATGTTTAATTTTCTTACTTGGCTCACAAAAACCTCAAGTAAATATTATTACTCCTTATTTTTATTTTTAATACTTTTATTAGTAAATATGGGTTTCTTTTTTTTTTGAGAAATATAATATATAAAATTGAATAAACATATATTGTTATTATTATCATCATAAAATTTAATAAATTAGTGTTAAAAAAAAATATCAAAACAAATTTATATATTACAATAATAACAGCATAATAATAATAATAATAATAATAACAACAAATAATATGTTAATTAATATACTCGCGTATGTTAAAAAATTTTAGTATATTAAAGCCATCATTAAAAATTCTTAGCTTTATTTTTAGACATGCTATTATTACTATTTAATGTGAAAATAAAGAAGCAAGAATTAACTAATAAATCAATCAACCAGTAAGATGCGTCATTAAATAATTTTTTAATTTCTTATCACAAAGATCCAACGGAGTTTTCATTTCGTCATTTTCCATATCAATAGAGGCACCATTTTCAATCAACAACCGTGCAGTATCTCCATGTCCTTCTTCACATGCCAAATGTCTAACAATTAACCATGTTATTATTTCATTGATAATATATGAATAAACAATAACAACATATGTGCATATATTGTTTTTAACTTACAGAGGTGTATTCTTGACTTTATCAGGTACATTGAGATTTGCTCCATTTTCTATCAAAGATTTTGCAAATAAGGAATATCCATGTACTGTACAACGATGACTACAAAAGATCAAGACAACATTTATGAATTCAAAAGGTCGTTTTTATTTCATCATCCAAATTGTTAATTGTTATTACATACAGTGGAGTTTGATTGTTTTTGTCTTTAATATTGACTTCTGCACCTTTTTCCAACAAAAATCTTCCGATCTATTTTTAATAATAAACAATTCAAATATTAGTTTCATTTCTCTACCTAAAAATTTAATTATAATAAATCTAATTATGTACAAATAATATCAAATTATCTTTACTTCTAGCTTATTTTTTGAAGCTGCGTAATGCCTAAAAGAAGAAAATAATTGTCAATTCATCTAAAAAACAAACATATATAATAATTTTTCAAAGTAATTTAGCAATCATTTGCAATATTATGATATTTTCAATAGAAGGGATTATTATTATTGAATTTTTTTTTTTGGAAATTTGACATACCAGCAATCAGATTATTCACACCTCATATGGTTCATAAATAATTCATATATATATATAGATATTATTAATTATATTATTCTTATTTTTTTCTTTTAGATTGATATATAATTATATTTACAAGGGAGTTAGTCCAATGTCATTTTGACTATTGATATTAGCTCCTGCTAGAACCAACTTTTGCACAATATCCAGATTTCCTGTGGATACTATTTAATGGACAATCAGAAATATAAATATTTGCGCAAATATATTAATATTTTTAAGATGAATAAAAATGATAGAAGATACCTGCAATATGTAAAGGAGTCCAGTTTGATTCATCTACAATATTAACATTTGCTCCTTTATCTATCAAACACTCTACAATATCCAAATGCCCACCAGATGCTAATTGTATTTTTGTAGTGAGTGTTTCAGAGTAAAAAAATAAATATTACACTTGATAGAATTGATTTTTTTATGCACTAAAAATAAACAAGTAAGTTTACCAGCCCAGTGTAATGGAGTTCTTTGATCCTGATCATTTTAGTAAAAAAATTATTAAATTATCAATGGATGATTAATTTAATCTCCACTATAAAT